TCTTGATACAATCCTGATATAATCAAGATACAATCAAGATGTTCTCTCCAAATCCTATCAATCCTGACTCATGGCAACAGCAAATACAACCGAGCAACATGCTGCTCTGTCTTGGGCCATGTTACAAACACTGGTATGTTCCAGTCTATCATTGTGACCACTGAGCATTTTGAGTGCCTTCCAATCTGTAAGCCAAGTTAAATCTTGGGCTTCCAGCTGCAAAGTCAGCAGTTCAAATCCATCAGTCTACCCACGGAAGAAAGATGAGGCTGTCTGCTCCTGTAAAAGTCTACAGTCTTGGACACCATAAAGAACAGTTCTGCTAACCTCAAGGTCAGCAGTTTGAAACTCCCAGTTGTTCTGTGGGAGAAAGATGAGGCATTCTGCTCCCGTAAGGACTTGCAGCCTTGGAAACCCTGTGCAGGGTCACTATGAGTGGGAACCGACTCCACGGTACTTAACAACAACTTGACCTGTATGGTCACTTGCAATTGGAATAAAATTCAATGACAATGGGTAGCTACAACTTAGAGGCTCATCTTCTGGCAACCCAAGGACAACGCTCTCTTGTGATGCAGATCTGAGTTTGCCAGGATTTTCTTTTGTCTTAGTCTGGAAGCTCTGCTGAAACCTGTCTATTATGGATGACATTGTTGATATTTGAAGTGTTGGTGGCATGCTTCTAGCATCAGATCAATAAGCAAGTCAGTACAAATATGAATTCTGGAAGGGACCATACATATACAAGTTTTGAGTCCACTTAAGGAAATTTGCTTTTTGTAGGTGTGTTTCTGTTTCACACAAGAGAGGAAGAAGAGGGGTCAGAATTGAATCTTGGGACATGTCAAAATGTAAAGACCAGAGAAGCAGGGAAGAAAATAGTCTATCAAGAAGACTGAGCACTGAGAGAAACAGTAAAATAACATTTCAGTGATACTAGAGTATAGAACCAGTATCTATATAAAACTGGAGGAAAATAAGGATTCAAGAAAGAAGACATGTTTACCCAGAACAAATGCCAAGCAGAACAGATTAAATAAGGATTCAAGGACCCATCTGTCTATGTATGCATGAATGTATGTATGTACATATCTACCTACTTACCTACCTACCATCTATATCCAGGCTCTAAAGATGGACGGTGTCTATAAAAACATTTTAATTTTTGTTTACACTGTTGTTAACTGTCAGTGAGTTGGTTCTGACTCATAGCAACCCTGGGATAGGGTTTCCAAGGAGCAGTTGGTGAGTTTGAACCACAAACCATATAATTAGCATTCCAGTGCTAATTCTACAGCACGACACTACTTAATTTTAATCAATGACTTGTCAGATGCCATCGAGTCGGAACCGACTCATAGCAACCCCATGCACAGCAGAACGAA